TGTTTGTGGTGTGGTAGTTGTTGTTGTTTGTGGTGTGGTAGTTGTTGTTGTTGTTGTTGTTGTTTGTGGTGTGGTTGTTGTTGTTTTTGGTGTTGTAGTTGTTGTTGTTTTTGGTGTTGTAGTTGTTTTTGTTTGTGGTGTGGTAGTTGTTGTTGTTGGTAGTGTGGTAGTTGTTGTTGGTGATGGTGTGGTAGTTGTTGTTGTTGTTGTTGTTGTTTGTGGTGTTGTTTGTGGTGTGGTAGTTGTTGTTTGTGGTGTGGTAGTTGTTGGTGGTGGTGTTGTAGTTGTTGTTGTTGGTGGTGTGGTAGTTGTTGTTGGTGGTGGTGTGGTAGTTGTAGTTGTTTGTGGTGTGGTAGTTGTTGTTTGTGGTGTGACAGTTGTTGTTTGTGGTGTGGTAGTTGTTGTTGTTGTTGTTTGTGGTGTGGTTGTTGTTGTTTGTGGCGTGGTAGTTTTAGTTTGTGGCGTGGTAGTTGTTGTTGTTTGTGGTGTGGTAGTTGTTGTTTGTGGTGTAGTTGTTGTTGTTGTTGGTGGTACAGTTGTTGTGGTTTGTAGTGTGGTTGTTGTTGTTTGTGGTGCGGTTGTTGTTTTTGGTTCTGGAGTGGTAGTTATTTCCTTAGTCGTCGTCGTTGTTGTTGTCGTCGTTAAGAGCAGTTCACAGTCATTCCCCGTGTACAAGGCCGGACAGCGACAAGTATAGCTGGCCGGTCCACTAACACACTTTCCTCCATTCTGGCAGGGAGATGATGCACACTTGTCTATAGCTGTGGATGAAATGACAGGGGTTCGCGTTCTTTTCTTTGGCATGCAATTGGTGTCCAACTTTTACCGTACATCCGCCAAATTAGATCACACATTAATTTTTTGGGGAGGGGGAGGTGTAAAAATGTCATTTCTTTCTTATTATTTGCAGAATATCTCAAAATTTTGTGCAGTGTTCTTTTAACTACATGTAATTCATAGCAACACCGCTTATATTACAAATGTGGCTACTATAAATAACACAATCTCTGACAGAAAACGTGTTTGGTCTAATTTGGCGAGTTACAACGGTTAGAGCCCTACACATGTGTTACGTTTTTCAATTGAGATTCTAGATGAGTATAAAAAATTACGAAATATTACATGAACGCAATTTATGGAAACGAAAGTGATTAAAACTTACCGTAATGGCTTATTTCGAAGTCAACGAGAATTTTAAGACATAGATGTAGGAGCAAAAAAGATAAGGTGATAGAGCTCTTGGTTTCCAGTGACATGTTGAAATAAGAAAGGGCATGTCTCTCTGTCTCTCTGTCTTTTAGTCTCTTAGTTTCTCTCTCTCTCTCTCTCTCTCTCTCTCTCTCTCTCTCTCTTTCTCTCTTTTTCATAATATAGATACATAGCTATATAATACAGTTTTACTAGTAATAGTTGTTGTTGCTGCTGCTGCTGTTGTTGTTGTTGATGATGCTGCAACTGTTTTGTTGTTGTGGTTGTTGTTGTTGTTGTTGTTGTTGTTGTTGCTTCTGTTGTAATGTTTGCTGGGTTTTTTATCACTGCTGTCTGAATTACTGTTGTTGATGTTATTGTTGTTGTTTGGTTGTTTTTGTTGTTGCTTTTAGTGGGGGGTGTATTATCTATAATTTTGCCCGCTGGAAGCCAGTAATTGTTGACAGTATGCATCTGCGTGCACATATAAACGTACACACCTGTACAAAAGGGGACATGCTCTCCCCCGCAAACAAATAGAAACACACACTCATACACATACACACACATAGATAGATAGATAGGTAGATATTGTTGTAGTAGTAGTAGTAGTAGTAGTAGTAGTAGTAGTAGTAGTAGTAGTAGTAGTATAGCAGTAATATACATGTACATGTATATACAAACAAACACACGGGTGAGCATGGACATAGAGATACGCACGCGTACAAACAAACAAACAAACAAACAAACACATATACACACTTATTATCTAATATATTATACTTACATTACGCCATATAGCTTGCAAAACGCATTGTTCTTGGCATAGACTAAAACAGGGTTATGCTCTAATACTATTTAATTTAGAAAGCCTATTATTACTAGATCTATGTAAGAATAAATTGTATGTATCCAAGCGCATATCTATTCAAACTCTATTTCGTGACTATCACTCGGAGTTGTTTCTCTTTTCTATTCATTGCGTGCTCACCGAGTTCACAGTATATACCCTCAAACCCAGCCCCACACATGCAGTAAAATATGTCAGGTGCGACGGCAGGGTTTGAGATGCAAGAGGCGCCGTTCTGGCAGGTGACTATGTCACACATGTCACGACCTGGGAAAAGAAAAAGAACATCTATTTGACGTACACTGAATTGAAATCGGGTAAAATCAAGTTGTTGTTGTTGTTGTAGTAGTAGTAGTAGTAGTAGTAGTAGTCGTAGTATCATTTGTATTTTGTAATATTTGTATCATTTTATTACGATTATATTATCATCAGTAGTAGTAGTAGTAGTAGTAGTAGTAGTAGTAGTAGTAGTAGTAGTAGTAGTAGTAGCA